TCAATTCAACTTAATTTGGAATATATATCTTTGAGAAAATAAATTAATGGTATCTAATTCACATTTTCAAAAAATTATCTTATCTGTAAGCTACTTCACTTACTTGTAGGTACTTGAATTTACAAAATTTGTGTAAAATTGAATATGACTATGGAGAATTCATCTATAGTAGCTTGTTTTTTTCTTTCTTTTCATTGAGTTGTGCGCCAATAATAATCATTTGATTACTTAAGTAATAATTTTATCTTTTGACGCATTTTTCAGTTATTTTTGCCCATAACTTTTTTAATAATTATCAGCTCCATTTTGCTGAATGGCATTTCAAACAAAATACTCAACCAGTAAGCGACCAACCATGACATCGCACAACAAGGAACACAAAATATAATAATCTGCAAAAAAATCGCCATTTATTAATTTTAATGTTATCTTGGGGCGCGATAAGTAGAAAGTTCAAAATAAACTTACTGTATGAATTATAGATGAAAAAGGAATAACATCGATACTCATGCATGCAATGTAGAACAGAACTATAAAGTGACACAAGTAGGTGCAGTAAGTTAGACGTCCTAATGGTACCCAAATTGGTAGTGACATAAAGTCATTTATTGGTCCTGAAAATGGATTTATTCAAATAGATTTAATTATTGATAGCCATCAAGTTAATATTTAAATGTTGAATAACTTCAAAACAATCAGAGATTTTGGTAATTTAGAATTTTAGTCATTGCATATGGTTGCATTAGATTTCACGAAGTTCTTATATTGGTTAACTTTACGTCCTCAATTTTTATAGAGCTATCGCTGTGACAGAAATTTTCGCGATAGTGAAGTTTTATTCAAAAATTTACCCCCGAAACCATAAAAGCAAGCTATAGTCACGTAAGCCAAGGCTAGACTCCACACAAATTTGCTTAGAGCCGAATACAAAGCACGTAAAAATAGTGGCATCAGTTCATCATATCCGGTCCATTCTCGTAATGATACAATCAAGTAGAAACCAAGTGCTA